GAAATTAGAAATTCGGTGGCTTAATTAACGCATTTAGAGGCCTTAAATGCCAATTAATTTTGGTTTCCTTCGAATTTAAACACGATTACTTTCATTTGGAGGCCTTTTTAAGCTCGGCTACCTCAAACAAAACAAATACTAGCGCATTATTCGTCAAACAATGCGTTACAATACTAGCGTTATGTCACCCGAGGCCAGCCTGTATTAGTAATGATACAAAGCACAGTTTTCAAGGATTAAACTGTAATTTCTGTTAAACGGAATTTCCTCGTATCAGAAAATTTAAGGCAGAAAACTGGCTAAACAAGCTACTTAAAACTAAATTTCTGTTGATCCCAGCTTGAGAAGATGCCGTAAAAACAAATAGAATAATCGTGTTTCTATGGAAGTTTTTTATAAAATGCCAGCAATCTAAAAAAAGGCCAGCTAAAATGTCCTGGAGGTGAATACTCGATCTTTATGCGTGACCATCACGAACGTATAAAACAGGATAAATTGGCATTATGCGGTCAGTTTGATCATATAATTCGTATATATCCTATTTTATTGGGGTTAGATCAGTTTGACCCCTGTTAAATTTTCTGCATCTATAATTATATATTTCGAGAAATGCATTTTAAATGTAATTATGCCAAGAGCAGAGCATGAGGTAATCGAAGTTCTATTGGCATTTTTATGCGATTCTTCCGTAAGAACATAATCATCATCTTAAATTAACTATTTTTTCGAGTCTTTATTATTATTTTTAGAAGTTCTGTAAGCATTTATGGTTATCACAATTGAAGGAATGGGTTTAGAAATCCGAAATTTCAAGAGTTATCAACCCCGTTGCTAGCTCCGTACCTTGCGTTATCATCTTATTTACTTAGAAATTACGTCACTTAATTATACCCTATAACACTATATCTAATACAGCCAATTTTCAAAAAGTTCATATCAAATCTCATTAAACAAAAGATTCAGTTGGCTAAGATTAGAATTATTATGTAGCATAATCACTAATAATACGGGAGGAAAAATGTGGAAGTAAAATTGGGAAGGGGGATATTCTTCCGCAAGTGTATTCCCAACTATATTCAGTATTGAAAGCGTACCACCGCACATCAATCAAATTTCGTGAGACCCAGACGTAAGCAGGCACGTATATAGATTCGTGGCACGAAGCCATAAATCTTAGTCCCACGGCAAAATTCGTCCTCCTGCGAAGTCCCCTTTTGAAGTGTTATTGACATGTGACAATAAAATTGGGCACACATGACTAAACATAAAGCTACTGGCCAAACTATAGATTGATTAAACACCCGCTTATACCGTCGACCGCGTCAATGGCTCGTTTTAAAGGGTACACTTACGCGGGATTATTACCGTTAACACTACAGCATAGGAAGGTAAACTGCACCTATTTTGATAAGGATAGGGATCATTTTAGGGGGACGATTTACGTTATTGATTTACTTTTGGTGTCGAGTTCCCTCACGTAAATTGCAATAGGCATTTTATGGTGTGGAATACCAAATGGAAATAGGGAAGAAGAATAGTTTCCGTTGGAAAAAATACATTTGTAAAGTGTAAATTTTATTACTTTCGTCGTAAAGAAAATTTTAAAATATTTATTATATTGTTAACAGTAAAATTTACGAGTATTTTTAAGTACGTGACGTCGATTTAATGACGTACGTTTTTAATTCTCTCGTATCCCACCGTTAGCAGACAAAGAGTTTGGAATTTTCATATATGTATGTATTTATATATAGAAAATGTGTGAGTGATTAAAAATCCCTTTAGAAACATATGATAAATTATCAAATGGTTTCTAAATTAATTTTTCTTTTCATGCAAGAATGCAATAGTCGACGAGAAATCCATTCGTGTAACGAATCCAGCAAAATAATTATTCGAATGAATAAATTGCTAGAAATGTCCAAAAAAGTTGTGTAAAACGTAATCGGTTGGGCTATTTTTTTAAAAGTTCTCTTATATATACGTTTGTATAAATGTAAAAGAATTAATGATGAAAATGTCAATCGTAATCTATCAAGCTGCGTATTTTAGGCCTTTTAAATATACAAGAAAAAAGGAAAATAGAAATTTGATCCTAACCACAGACAAACGCATAGATGTGCAAGAGGATTACAAAGGTTTAACACTCTAACCCGCATAGTTTCTGAGAAAAATGACATTTTGCGTTTACGCGTGTTAAGGGAGTTGTACGAAAAATGGAAACGATTTGGCATGAAACGCTAAAAAAGGGATGTGTTCTTTCATATCTCGAAAAATTTTCGATAGACAAACTAACTGATGTTTCTTTAAAATAAAATAAAAAACGTTATTTAGAGACGTTTCGTAAAAAAAAAAAAGCGTACCATTCGTCAAACAAATTGAATATTAATTTCGAGGCCTTAACCGCTGGCAAGCACCGGTTAATGCCAACTTCCCCCTTCCGTGCGTTACGCACGTAGCATATTAAATAGTATACGTTTATATAAGACGAATGTTAAAACGGCAGCCAATTCCGACCCCGATATAACGAGTCGGTGTGTGGAGGATTCGAAAACTGGAGTGGATTATTGCATAATTAAGGAGCAAGGATGCGGAAATCTTTGACTCGAAAAATCTGTATCAAGGGTGATTCGGTCTCATCCCCAAAAGTAGGGCCCAGAGTTGCACGGTTGCTAGGTCAGATAACAGAACTAATCACCATAACGGCAACAACACGGTTGTCAGGCAAAAAATTTTCGATATAAACGAAGGCAACCATCCGATTCTCCATGCGCCTTTTTTTTGCATTGCCACAAAAATGGAAAAATAGGGCGTCGCTTGTTTTATATCCTTAAAATATCCCTATTGTTTACAAAATCAGCCAACAATTCCGAGTTGCGGGGCCCGAAAAACAAACTAAACGGCGATACCTAACTACCGTACATTCCGGGATTTTACAGAAGAAATTACCTAAATTTGTAGGAGAGGAACCTCTTGTTTTTGAGGTTCCTCTCACAAGGAGAATCTATTGATGAAAATGATACAAAGCTAAAAATCTTATCTGCATAGAGTACACTTCATAAAATTATTAGATAACAATATCAAGGTCTCCGTTCCAATCATTTACGGTAGAGCGGATGTGATGTCAACAGCCCGCGCGTCACGTGACTCGGCAGGTTGCTCGCGATAGAGAACCTACCTGCAGCAGTTACGTTTTGACTGTGCTAGCGGATAGATCGGATTGGGAAATGACGGCATTTCGGAGGGTTGCTTTCATCAATTCGTTCAGGTAAGCGCGGGGGGCACCTTTTCGTAATTTCGCCCCATTACGTGACGGCCTTTATAACGAACACGACGTAATTCCACGTTCTTGTTAAGATTTGGTGACGTTTCCGTAACAACTGTGCGGTTAAACGAGGAGGGTAGATGAGAAAAATGTACTTAGTAAGGTCGGGGTATGGTTACGAATGTAGGGAAGGCCGCGTTCTACTTCTACACAGATTTGTCTCGAACTTGTCCGGCAACTTAACCTATTTACACTCCACAAAACACCTACGAATCCGCCTAAAAGTTAGAAAATACACTTAAAAAGTTACGCCAGAAAACTCTACACTCCGTATCTGGGCAAAACGCAGAAAATATTCGGAATTTTCGTCCGTCTGTCCTAAAATTTCCGCATTGATTATCTCGTGCTAATAACCGAAATCCTACGTTTGGACGTCCACACGCCACCCCTCTCGATATCGTGACGTTTATCACGAAACACATCAAATCACGTCACTCGTGATGAGTTTTAAGTATCTAGTCGACACATTAAATGCATTAGTTGCGGGGGTAGAGGAGAGAAGTGACGTCTTGGACAGCTGAGCAAACCGGATATCGATTTCACGCGCCGGATTATCGTATTCTAACGATTTTCCTCTCCGTCAAAACCTACAATAACCGTACGTTGGAAGAGCCTCGCGCGGCACCGACTGTTCCGTGACCTTTGACACGACCTCGACTCGCTCTTGAACTTTATAAAATTAATTCGAAAGCCTTTAAACTGATGGGCAGCCGAGCCGAAAATATTCAAAAAGTACTTATTGCGCTCCATTTAACTAGAACCCCCTTTTTTATTATTTTTTTCCTATTTTTATAAAACTGGAATAGGAGGCATTTTGCCTAGAATCTCGTGCGTGTTCTACGGAAATTCAAGTTCTAGACTCTAGAATTTGAACTGGAACGTGCATTTTGTGAAGTTTGAGCACTTCCATATGAATCGGGAGGGATTTTAATGTGCTTAAAATCTGTACGAAACAAACATTTTAGTAGGTAAGTTAGCCAAGGTAATCGCCAAGTACTAGATAATTCTTTATCTCAAGATAGGGATATTTACCAAGCGAATTCTTCGTCGAGAGGCGGAATGATTAAGGATGTTTACTTTAAATTAGATGCCGGGTTCGAGTTATACGAGCATGAATTGATGAACAGGATCGTAATTACGAAGATTTGTATGTAAAAATGCTCTATTTGTATCGCTTTATACGCCAGTTACAAAGCTTTAACGCCAAGTAAAAGCGAAGACGGGGCTTTACGAAAACAATTCCCTGTATAGAAATTAACGGAGCGGCGGATCGGAACGTTAAAATTATGTCAACCGATGAGAACTTCGACCGAGAAGCTACCGTCACGAAAAAAATAAGTAAAATTAAAAATCGGACGTATTTTTGGCCAAGTAAAAAGGCAACGAGCCATTATCGTTTCATAAAAGATGGCGAAGTGAAACGCTTTTTTATTCCTTTTTTTTAAATTCAAAAATCCAGATGGTGCTGACAAAACGAAAAGAAAAAAAAACACGCTTAGTGGCGGGACGATCGGCGGTTATTCAAAAATAAAAATAAAAAGAGGAATCGATAAACACCCCGGAAGTGATGCAATATCTGCGATGACGTCAACGCCCCAAACGGCATTTAAAACTTTCGAATTCACGAAGCGTGACGTGTTTTATTTTTAATTTTTTCTTTTGGAATTTTCCCTCCTCGGACGGGAGAAGCCGCTTCAATTCTATTTTATTTATTTTTTCTATCCTTTACCGGAAAATAATGGAGAGTGGGAGGAGCGAGAGTTGCGATGAATTTTCGGACGGCTTCGAACGCGATCGAGGCGCAGGCGCGTTGACGAATCCAAAGGGTTGCGGAGTGCTCGAATTCTCCACGTAGAAGAGGGGTAGGACGGTCGCGCGCGCGACTCATGTCCTCCCATCAGCATCCGGATCGTCCGCCGAGGGTCCACCTCCGCCAGCGGAAGGTGAGTTCGAGGAGTTGGGGATGGGGTCGGACGACCAGGTCGAACGCTAGTTTCGTCCTTATCGAAACCGGGTCACCTCGTTCCTCGGGCGATCGATGGTGGCCGTCTTCACGCGATTTTTCCGAGCTCACGGTCGAGAAAATTGGCACTCGCCCGCTACACGGGCAAAACCGGAAGTTGGCACGAAGTCCTAGTAGTAAAAGCGCAAAGATTTACTCTCCTTCCGGTAGATAATCCTCCGTGGATGGAGGATACATTTGGGTTTCCCTCCGGCCGGAATGTAGACGTAGTTAACAAGCCGGAGCAGTCGTCAACGCCGCTCGTTCGCCTCCTCTCCCTAATTAGTAATCTCGTCAGACGAGAGGATACAATACTAATGTTAACACCCTTCGTCCCTCGTCAAAACCTCGAAGATGTGGAGGTGTGAGGACGGTTTGGATGGCGTTTCTACCATGTCTATCTTTCTGGTGGGTTGGTGACCCAGTCGGCAATCGGGGCAAATCGCGAATAAAGTAATGGCATCGATGCTTCCCTCGTGTAACGAAAGGATAGGGGGGTTTGCATCCTTCGTATAGACGACGACCTTTTGAAATTCTCGTGGCATCGATCCGCGCACCCGACCGCAAAACCAATGGCGCATTTTTAACCTTGCCAATAATAAACATGGGAATACCGGGAGCGTTGCACTCAACCTGCTCGGTCTGCACCCTTCTACCTTCCAACCAACTGTTCTGGTGCTCTAAAACGAGGGAGCATCGGAAAAAATCCACGAGCGCGGGCCAAACAATCAAATTTTCTCGGTAGAAACCACCACTGATCGAAAAATCCCCGTGTCTCTTTCCAGGTAGCCACCGGTGCGGATCCGGACGGGACTACAAGGTCCAAAATGTCGCCTCCACCGCTTCTTTTCCTGCAAGACTTTTCGGCCGATTTAGGACCGACCGACGCAACATCCCGATAAGACAATTAGAAGGGACAAGAAGAAAATGGCGGAGCATTCGGAACTAGTCGCTGAATTGGCCATGCTGGAGAGGATGACGACTCAGGAGAGGTTGAAACACGCTAGGAAAAGGCGAATGCAACAGCTTAAAAAATGGAACCAGAAGGAAAAAGAGAACAACAGCAAGAGGAAGAAGACGGAACACAACCTGAACCGGAAGTCCAGGAGGAACGGGTACAAAGTGCATTTCGTACCAAGTGTCATGCTGCTAGAAGCGGCGGCCAGAAACGACGTGGAAGAAGGTAAGTTACTCTCGTTTTCTTCCATCCCCAAGTAACGATTCCTGTAATTTTATCGTCTGGCCAATGTATAACGAAGTCCGTTCGCGTCACGTTTTCAACAGTGGGTGTTTAGCTAAAGGAAGGATAGAAAACAATAGAAGCAAGATTCTGCTCCTGTTAAACAAACGAAAAAACAATGGTGCAATTCAGAGAAAGGGAGAGTAACGCATCTTAATTCAAATTCGGGTTTAGTCCAACTTTCGTACACGCTTTTATCTTAATTTTCGAAAAACAGATAGATCGAAACACTAAACACGACCGTGAAAACCTATCAAAAACTAAGCATTTAGCGGGTTTTAAAGTAAAGAATTTGACTTAAAATCGAGCATTTTCGACAATAATTGTTCAAAATAATCGACAAAAGCATTTTCGCCGTAATTTACTTCCTCCCATTTACGTCTCTTTCATCGATTATCCCATCTACCAATTTATTTTTAAATCTGGTTCGATACAGTTTTTCTTCTACCGCGCGTGCCGTGCCTTCCACTCTTCCGTATATAACGACACAGAAAATTTCCCTAAACTTTATTCTCAAAACTCTCCCCATAATCCTGCCGATTAAGAACAATTTACTTTCGCAAAAATTCCGATTTTTACCTTCCAGAATAATTTTTCCAGTTACGTATCGCATGTTGCACAACCGGTCGTTAGTTGTGTATCTAAATTAGACGCAGATAACACGGGTTTAACGACACCTTTAGTTATTTATAAATCGATTAATGCCTTGATTTTCCCCCTAGTCACAGTCGCAAATAGGGAAAACTCCCGTAAAAATATTAAAAAAAAAAAAGATCGATCCAGACCAATAAATTTTCGAACTATTTCCACCCCTTCTTTGTCCTTGAAGAAACTATTAGACGAGGATTACACGCCCATCCCATTATCAGTGCCGACGATTTACAGATAACCGCTCCGATTTTTTGGCACGGGTTACGAGTGATGTAACGAGTTACGAAGAAAATACCGCAACGATTCCATTTACGTTCAGCAAATTTAATTCGGGAGGCGCGTTTTTTGAAAGGTTTCTCCGTGTACTAAACGTTCCTCCGCTTAAACGTGTACTAAAAACGTACACGTTTAAGCGGAGGAACGTTCGGTTGGTGGGACTTTATTCGGAGACGTCATACGTTAAACGGGGCCAAAATAGAAAAAGTGCATTATCCAAGCGAATCGATAATGGAAGCAAAGAATAGAAAAGAGTGAAAATAGTTTAGAATTTTGCAGATTTCTTTGCAAATCCCTAAATGCATCCTTTCTAGATATCAACGGTTTACAAATGCGCTCACTACAGGTTTCTTTCGCTAGAAAAACTGCAAATTCCTTGTGTCGTGTTGCATTCTTCACCGATGTGGAGCAGCTTAAAGGAAAAACAAAAAAACCGTTTGTTTACAATCTTTTAAAAAAGTTTTCATCAACAAATAGCGTACGAAAAGAAAAAATCTTGGAAGAGATTTTTCTAGAAAATTAGAATCCTTGCCAAGAATTCGCTCTATTATTTAGTGGTCGATGCATGGAAAGGGCAAACGTGGAGACGGTAAACAAGACGGAGATTTTTGTTTTAGTTTTAATTACGCATTCTACCAGATTAAATGAATGTAAAACGATATTCTGTTCTCGCTTACGTACGTACGTGCTAATTAATAGTCGGGGTGCAACTGTACTTAATTGAAGGAAGCGCGCGCACCATTTTTGCTCCGTAGTTAAACGATTAGTGTCCGATGCTCGAATGTAATTAAAAATTTTATCATATCAAATCGCCAATTCTGGTAATATATTTATACTCGTTACGCAACAGACACAGTAACTGGACTTTGTATGGTTACTATTAATGGATTCGTTACGGAACGCACAGGTTGTTGACAACTATGCATAATGAATTTCCCTGTTTTTTTGTAGTTTAAACCCGTAGAATTAAGGAAAATTTAGATAATTATACAGTTAAATAAATTGAGAAGAGGGGAGAACTGTTTTCCTTTTTTAGTTGTTCCTTAATTAAGGTATAGCGGTTCCTTATCTTTTACAACGTGAAGAGAAAGCCTATAAGCTTGTACACAAGTTAAGAATCCCATTCTAAACAGAATTTTACTATTCTTATGATTAAAATCCCACCTCTAGAAATTACTTATACTTTTCCTTTCTTTACTTCCTTTCATATAGCAATTGTAATTCCCTATCGAAGTGGTAACAATGGCTAGAAGCGATTTTGGCACAAGATCTATTGAAAGCCGAGAGAACGTTTTCTCAACGCTCCTCCCTGTGGGTGAATCGGAAAATGAGATTTAAGCCCGATTTCTCGTTATATTAGCGTTAAATCCGCGAAATATTCGTATCTTCCTGCAACTACCGGAGAAAGTTATTACCCACGCTTCACCGATTTTGCAATCCATTTCTATTGTCGAGGGATTTTTTTTTCATTCGAATAATAAAATCCTTAACGAACATCAAACATTTTTACGCTTTATTCCCTTTCTAAAACGGAAATATCGATCTTTTTAAAACCGGAATGCTCCCGAAGATGGTCGATTTTAAGTACGAAAAAACGATCTCCCACCATCTAGATACCGGGTTCGTAACCCGTTAGAAGCATAGATTTCTAAAGAAACGTTTCGGAGAATGCAGAGGGATGAGGACGATCCGCTCGGTTAAACAGAAACTGACGTCTGTACGGGTCGGTGCCTCGAAATTTGCGTGCAACTTCGGTACAACTTTATGCACGCGGTGGGAAAGGAGAAACTTCCGTTGGGAAGTGCACACTTTATCTTCTCGCCTTCCTTCTATCCTTTTCTCTGCTTTCCTGACGGTAGAACATCCACAGAAAATCCCCAGAGAGAGAGTTAAATTCTGTAGAGAATCGATAAACTTCCCCCATGATTATAATCGACTGCAGTCGCAGATACATTTTGCTCCGACTGGAGTACGAGCGAATCTTCTCCGTCCACATTTATTTATTAAATGAGTTCTATAATTGTTTCATAAGGCATGGAGAATTCGCTACTCTCTAAATATTCTCCGTTATTTTCTTGGGATGCTGATTTCTCAATGGTTAATGGTATCCGAATGCTTTCTATGCACTCTAATTCCTTAATTATAAAATATTTCATTATATACAAAGAAAAACACAATATTTTCTCTTATTTCCACTGCTTTTTTGCGAGTGAAACGGATTCGCGACGTAAACGAGAGAGAGAGAGAGAGAGAGAAAGAAAATGGATTCGTGTCGTGTTTATAAATCGGTTGTGTTTTTATAACATTTTTACATCTTTTTTCTATATTAAATGGAATTTTTATCGATCGACTTCGTGTCCTTGGAAGTAGAAGCGCCTCTTTCCTCCAAAAAACTCTCCTTTTCTACTTTATGGCAACCATTTGAGACGTCGTCATAGTTGCTGTAAAGGAAATGCGTACATACACGCATCTCCCATTCGGTTCGTTTCATTTCTTTCATTATCAAATACCTTTTAAAAACCTGAATGAATACACTTCCGATCGACAGGATCGATCGACGATCGATCAGACATTCGTCCGCTCTACTAGTTACTACAGCTCTTAATCGGATCCGGAATAACTAAACTGAACTTTTGATAATCGGTTTACGGTGCATTACGTACAGTGACGTATTTTATCATCGATTACGCGCTAGACACTCGCTTCCGGATCACGAAACCGGAAGTACAAGCACGGTATTGTTAATAACACACAAACTCTCTTAGTCCACAGACTGCTGACGTTGGGAGTGAATCCCGATTCGACCAACGAAGACGGTCTGACAGCGCTGCATCAGGTGAGAACTTGGTAAAATTTGTTAATTCTCCATCATTAGGGACCACATCCGATAAATTCTTCACGGTTTTACAGTGTTGCATCGACGACAGCGAAGATATGATGAAGTTGCTGCTGGAGTTCGGTGCCAACGTAAACACCAAAGACAGCGAGCAGTGGACGCCTCTGCACGCCGCGGCCACCTGTGGTCATCTGCACCTTGTCAAGTACCTCATAAGCAAGTAAGGAGCACCCCGACGGGTTACCAACATCCTCCATCCATTATACTTAAGACGAGAGTGAACGGGGATGGAGGATGTTGACCTCATTCTTACTCGGCGTGTACTCTCGTTTCGTGTTAAGTGGGCACATTTACGTCGTTCACAATGTCTAAACTAAGTTCTAGGAGTGTTTCATTGCGTATTAATTAACGACGATGGAAGGTCTAACTAGAAAAGCACAGGTTGCACCGCATCGTCCTATCGATTGATGGCATTTACAATTCCGTTTTGTTAATGGCGCGAGGCGTTTTCGTGTTTGATTCCACACACGAAATTGGATCGGAATTAAAGCATCACACCATTCACACGAACCGACAAAACCGCTCCAATCACAAACGACGACGGAGATTTGTATAGAAATCGATCGATTCGTAATGGCAAACAATCGATTTATCGATCGCGGTTCGAAGATTCGGATAATTCCACGTTCCTCCAACTAAATTCTCGTTTTCCTTTTAAAATATTCTTTGTTTTATCAGATAAATACGAAGGGGGAGAAAGGAAAAATACTCTTTAAATATCGATCGTATTTTCTAATTTCTTGGAGAACGAAGAAAGAAAAGCACATTGCTGTATTCTGAAGTGATTTCCTTTGTGGCATGCACCTCCGGGAGATGTTACGAAAGAATAAATGGAATGCCAAAGGATACACAACGAGATTTCATGAAACGAGACGAATAATTGGATATTCTAACCTCGATTTAAAGCTATAAAAGACACACCATTCGGCCATTTTATGTAATAAATTCGAAGATGCTCTTTATTGTTACTTTGGTTAATTTAAGATTTCGGTGTTTCTAAGCCAATTAAATACAATTATGGTCGCGCTCAGAAAGAAGAAAACGGGATTTTACGAGCCTCAGAGTTTTATTTTTTTTGCAGGGGAGCCGATTTATTGGCAGTCAATGCCGATGGAAACATGCCCTACGACATCTGCGAGGACGATGCTACTCTGGACTACATCGAGTCGGAAATGGCCAAGAGAGGTAATTAACAAATAAACAATAGGATCTAATCCTTCCGGACAACATCCAAAACTAAGCTGACGATTTGTTATCGATCCAGGAGTAACTCAGGAAATGATCGATCAAACTCGAGCCTCTACCGAGCGCAGGATGTTGGAAGATCTGGAGTGGATCGTGGAGAACGGAGGTGACATAGAATATAAAGATAATCAGGGAGCCACTCCGGTAAGGATCGTGACCTTTAGCTTAACCTGTTCTTGGAAGAATCACTTTAATTATTTACTTATTTATTACCGTTTAGCTGCACGTAGCGGCTGCCAACGGGTATCTATCGGTGGTGGAGTATCTATTAGAGAACAACGTATCTACGGAGGTGGTGGATGACGATCTGTGGCAACCCATCCACGCTGCTGCCTGCTGGGGACATGTAAGCTTGGTATATTGATTTTTACACTGAAATCCATTCCTTCTCCAACTTAAATTATCCAATTCTCTTCTCTAAGAAGTGTTGCACTTACAAAGCGCATTCTCAATATCCACAAGACTACAAAACCTATTCGTTTATCCACGACATCTCTATAAAACCCGTTTAAATTCCCGTAAATTCGAGAGGCTACTTAAAATTTCCTTTCTCTCCGATACAAATCATTAAACTATAATCTTATTTGCTAAACTTAATGGCAACTTTGTGCTTCCAAATACATGAAAGGCATTACTTAAACAATTACCTATAATTTTCTGTATTTGTTTCCTTCTACGTGACGAAATTCCTTATCGTTACTGAACAGATGTAGATCCTTTATATGCAAACACATTATAAATTTAAAGTAACAGAAACTTTACGTACCACTACATAAATATGATCAAATTTTCATTTCATAGTCCCAAAGAGCATCTGTAAGAAACAAAATTAAGCGAATGGTACTTAGGCCTGTCCATTATCTTACACTCTACGCTTTGATAAAATATTCTCATGTACAGAGTGTCCCATAAGTCTAGAATAGGGGTCGATAAAAAACTTACAACCAATGGTTTATATATATGACAGTTCAAGATGTGAATTTGCACACCGTAGCCTAAGTATATCTTTTCTATAAAAATGTTGTATGGATTTATACTGGCTCACCAGATTGATTTATTATTATTAACTGTATAAGCAAAAAGAAGAGAGTTCGATTAAAGATCGTGGAATCCTTAAGGCTGTGTACACATTAGGCGTTTTGCGTTGCGTTAAACGCGCGTTAGCTCGGCGTTTGACGACCGTTTAGTGGAGCGTGCGCATTGGCTCAGTTTGGAAATGGACGTGGAAGTGATTGCTTGTGTGTGGCTTCTCTATCGTCGCTATAAAAGACGACGGCAGAGGCAAAGAGAATTTTGGGTGCACTCAATATTACGAGATAGACTGAGCATGGAATGTTTGTGACGTTGTATCCAAAACTAAGACAATATGAACCCAAGTTTTTTAATTATTTTAAAATGTCTATAAAATCATTTGACGATGGCTGGTCACTTTTGGATTTCATCAATAAATGATCAGTATCGAAATGATCGTTCTCCATTTCGGCCAACGAGCGTCCACTCTACCCGAAAGCGCGCAATCGAATGTATAACAAAATAGCAGCACATGTATCTCAAAGTGCGCGGCTGACGCCCGCGTTCTAACCAAAATCTATCAACACGCGTTTGAGTGTGTATACCTATGCGGAACTCTTGGTTCTTTAAAACTCGCGTTTCAAAACGCCTAATGTGTACACAGCTTAAAGTGGTCAACAAAACAGTTTAGGAATCACGGGAAGTTAGGACTGTTTATTCTTCTATAGTTGAGGCCAAGTTTCTTTGGCGAAGAAAAACTCTTCAGTGATTTTTTACTGATTGGAATAACTTGAATTAATTTCCCATTAATTCGTAAAACGTTAGAGAACAACTTAATTCTTATGGTTATAGAGTTATGCTACACCCTCTACATGCAATTATATATAAGATACTTACTATTTTTGTATAAATTTCCTTCATATTCTATCAAATCGCATTCTCTATTCCATCTTCAAGCAGAAAATTCTTTAAGTATTAACGGCTTTTATAACGATAAAACTATGCTTTCGTCAGTGATTCTTACGTAAATAACGAAGACAAAAAAACCTTTCTGAAAAATCAAGGATATTTGCAGGAATATCTCGCAGATAAATTCTCCAATTGTACTGAGGAAGAATCAAAGTTAAAGATGTTCTGAATCTTCCTGAAATTTACTCTGATAATTTCTTTTCTTTTGGTTCTTGATGTACTGTACTGTACATCAAAACTGAGAGCCATTTTGGATTGCTTACATAAGAAATTTTTTTCTGAAATGATGAAGAGTGGAGAAATGACACTGATACTCAATCCATTGCTTCTTAGTAGTATCATTAAAACCTTAAAAATCCAAACTTTTTAATAAATTCTCTTGGAAAATCTCGCGAAAACTGTAGCTTTCGTGTATAAAGACGCCGTAGTTTCTAATTATAAGCCTGTAATCATTAAGTATTGTTAAAAGCAGGTGAATGAGAATCATCTCGTAGTGATTCTCATTCACCTGACAACCGTAAAAAAATTAATGGGGGAGAGGAAGTAGATGTTGCCCAGTTCACGTTCATCATTAAAACGCATTCGCTAAATTGAGTCAAAAATTTCTGTTTTATTCATCAATTTGTACAATTTTGATCAATCAAAACACGTTAGCAAGCGAAGAGGAGGGGAGAATCCGAGACTTTCCTAATTTATATATATATATATATATATAATACATAAATGGATGAGAAATCGACTCGATATCCTTTCCGATTCGGAAATAATGAAGTTAAGGATATCATTTTCAAGATTAATGGCCAATTGAAATGTTAAATACTTGTGATAACGGGTAGCAAAAGTAACGATCCGGTTTATCTACAAATTGAGTTAGAGCTAGAGTAGTTTGTTGTCGGCTTAGGCCCTGTGTATCCTCCGAGGAGGTGCTCCAGAAAATAAATAAAGAATAAAATAGCTAAAATCTCGGTCGATTAGTCTCCCTGGAGAATTACATCCTCCTACTTCACCACTAAAATCCGCTCCATTTTATTAAATTCTTTTTACAACAGTTGTTTAATACTATTTTCGACAATTTCCTACCTTTAAAGTAAACATTTATAGGCAAATTCTAGTTCTAGTCTAGAGATTTCGAACAATATTCTCCTTGGAAATCACTCCTCGTAGGATGCAATGCGCGTTGAAACTGCGAAGCATCCTCGTTTGGGATGCAATTTTAATATCTTATTGGTTAAATTATTGCAGAATTATTAGTGGATAAGTCTTTTTGGTTCCAAAGCGTTTAGGAGATCATATCTGTAGGAATTTTATGAGAATTTTATGTTAAAACATTCAATGTATCTTCTGTAGCCCGATGTTATAGAACTGTTGGTTCAGTTCGGCGCCGATCTGAATGCGAAGACCAAGAATGGAGAATCACCTTACGGTAGGTATTGATAATATATCCCTAAATCACAAGAAATTATACGTTTTGTAATTTTTAACACATTTCTTTATTAATTGTTGAAGACATTTGTGAAGATCTGGAATTGAAAGAGAGAATCCTGCAGTTAAAAAGTGAAATGGAGACTAACGATGGTACTCCTCGTCATAAACTACGAAGAACTCACAGTCAGAACACTCGCAGGTAAGCTGCTTTCCACGTTATTTCGGAAGAAAATATAGCGAAGAAACACTAAAAACTTGATTTTATCTAGCAGTCAGTCGATAAGAAGGACGAGCATCAGGGAAAAAACGGAAATATCCAGGAGGGAAGCCATGGAAGAGGCCAAATTATGGCAAGGAAAGCAAGAATCCTCGAATAACGAGGAAGTAAGTAGATTTTTAAATAGTTTCTACACGTGCAAACAATTGGAATTTTATTCATTTTACGTGTATTTTAAGGACGACGAGATCAAACAGAAGCAAGACTGCAAAGAGTACGAGAAAGAAACATCAAATTCTAGTGACCTCAACGCACTTTTGAGCAAGGACACGTTACAGAGGTTGAAGCACAAAACGATGGAAATCAAAGACTGCGTCTACGGAGACCAAAGTGATTACAAATCAAAAAAACTGCATTCTCTGTCGAAAATCGTTCCTCAAAATTCTCTGGAACCAAAGAAGGATCATTCGGATACCCAAGTGACCGTAACCGATTCGAGACTGTTACCTGTGGATACCTCTCCCTCGGAATCGGTTAAGGTGGAGATACACGTGACTGTTAACACCAGCCCCAGTTACGCGCCTAGTCCCGGAACTCTGGCAGATCTGAAGAGGCATAGAGCCGACATTCGCAATAGAAACAGTGCAAATCTATCGTCTCAGCAGGACCTGAACGGTAAAATAACCAGCCGTAACGGACGTCATTTCAGTGCCACTTACACCTATCAGACTCCACCTTCGCCCACCACTTCGCTACGCAAATACAGAAGCGATCCCTCGGAGATCGTGGGAGATCCTCAAAAGCACGGTTGCTGCACGCTGATGTGATAAAAGATTTAAAATATTCACTCAAATTATAAGGAAGATGGGGGAGCGCAAGACGTTATCTCATGATATCAAATTTTAACACGTTAGAACCTTTCTGTGTGACCTAGATAATTGCGGGAGCGCATTGAAGATGGGATATCTCGTATTCATTGTACCCATTTCACCACGACGCTCGTAATTTGCGAACGAAAACTTAAACTGAGCTAATCAAACACTCGTACAATTAAAATTCTTGTAATTTTCCACGCAAAACGGGGACGATTTTTATCAAATAATGTGATATGCAATACAAAATTTCATATAATCAACGTTACTAAAAGATTTACTAGCTATTTTCTTGTCTCGATTTTTGCAAACTCGCGCTTCTTTACACAAACACACACAATCGAAAGATACCATCACATTTATGAGATTTCCCATCTTCTTGTTCGTCTTCCGCTACCCCGTCTCCCCGTATATTAATATAAACATAGGGATCTATGTGTATGTAGTATAAATCCAACAAAGAAAAAATACTTTTAATATGTATAAAGCAAAAAAAATTCCCATTTAGAACAGTTTGGTACAAAGTAAACGTTATTCTGTCTGTGCAATATATCTAGCCGAATTATTTAATAAATTACGGACGGGGGTCGAAAACTTTTATTTTGGCTACAAGGCTTCAAAGCTATAACGATTGTAAATGGCAAATTATTGATTTTAAAGATTGTGCAAATACGAGAAATATTTTTATGAGATCAAAAAAAAGGTAAATATTTTTTAAAAAATGTAAGAGAAAAAGGTTAATTCCAGACAGGGCCTATTCAGAATTTCAAAAAAATAAATAATAATATATATGCAATGCTTCTTACTAATTCTGCACCGAATCGTCTTAAGAATTGAAAATTTGTGGGTCCATCTGTCAATTTGTTCTTTTTTCTCTCTGCTTGTAGCATTGTTTGGTAACTAAACCTTATTGTATCATACATAAAAACTACTTTTATATATATTAAAAAAAATGGCCTCCTGCTTCATTTTACATTCTAAACCACAATATTTTGAGCCATCCATTCTCAAAAATCTGAAAAACTTTATGGAGTGTTCCATAATTTACCATTTAAACTCTTGGCATTAATACTAGAATTTTGACACTAAAAAAGTCATTTTCCTCCAAAAAGTTCAGATTTCTGAGTGTGGACAAGGCTCTTGAAACGTTTATAATGATGTAAAATCGTTTAAGAAAATAACCAATCAAGCAATAATTAAGTTTAACATGTTTCTACATTTTATGTAAAAACTTGTTTCTCTCCTCTTATATATAATAATATGGAGATTTGTATTTATTACAGTAATCATTCGTTATCAACAGCATGAATTTTACATCTGTACACAGCCAGACATCCAGAACTGACAAATATTAAATAGCCCCATAATTATTATATTATCATCATTTGTTTTTATTAATTTTTATACAATTCATAATACAACAAACAGGGCTTTTTACATCCCTTTTGGATCCGGTCGCATTCCCGACTTTTTTTTTTATAATTTTTCATTTTTAAAATATCAAATATGTCCCAAAGTTGATCAAAAATAACATTTTTGGGCAATTACGTTTTGTGGTATACTAGGCTTTGCGATACACAATGTCCTGATGTGTACAGAAAGGAACATTGGTGAATAATGAAATTCCAACTAACTAGTGGCAGTATCAAAGTTAGTTTTTTTTTGGTTGTTGGATTCTTATATATATATATTTATATACTTTTGTACGGGAGGGTTGCCAATGCTATGTACACACGCATGAAACGGTGAATCGTGTTGGAGGAAGTTGTGCCTTCTCCTAAACTGATCCACAAAATAAATAAATACTTTCAACCGTTTAACCACTCGCTGCGGATGATAAATTTAAGTATTTTACCACACGTTCGGGCATTATTTTTTAAAGAAAACTGTCCACTAAAATACAGCAAATAATCCCTAAAGAGTAAACCATTCTTTGTTGTTCTGTATCTACAATTTTTGTTTTAAACTTCCACTCGCAATGTATAAATAGGGTATTTTTAAAAAAAAAATTTAAAATAAAAACACTAAAAAAACTGTACTCTAAATCCTTCCGTAGAAAATAAAAATTAATGGGGGTGGCAAACAAAAATTCTGTTCGTAGTCTGATTCGTTTATAAGTATTCTATTCGGTTAACATTTAACAATATACAATTAAAACAAACTTCGCATTCAACAAATGACGAGGAGATTGAGCAATTTCAATTCTTTTTTTTTTTTTTTTGACTGTTCCACTTTTTGTCTCGTCCCTTCTCAAATGAACTTATGCAAATTTTTTGTTTGTTGATTTTTTTTCTCTTTAATCTTTCTTATATTAAAAATGGCAACAAAGATGATCTTGCAATTCAATTTTTTTTGTGTATTTTTTCCTAGTTTTTTTTTTGTTTTCCTTTTTACAGTCGATGATACACCTTTTGTCTGATGTGATGAAGTTTTCGGTGCAACCACTGCTAAACGTAACAATTACGGGGTGCACGTGTGTGACGTAGGGGCGTCGGGGTGAAGAGTCTTGCCAACCGACGACGTATCGATAAACACACTTCCATGTTCATATATACTACAAATAACAGACTTTTTTACGCAAAATGGTCGATAGAATGATGATTGTTTTATATATGTACAGAATTTTACAATCGTTCACGATAGAAAAGATGCATGAGATGGCAGGAAACAGTATTCCGGAAGTATGTCACGTTGCACAGATTGTTTCTCTCGTTCTCTGCTGGAGTAAATCGGATGCAAAATGGGAGAATTCTTATATATGAGGAGAGGAATACTGTTCCGAGAGGTGGATGGATTGGCATCACCTACTGACAAAACTTCAGGCCCGAGCAGACCACCGATATGTCAGAATTCTATTTTAGGTATGCTTTATACAAAAGGGGAGTCCTCACTGTTTCCTTTTCTTGATCCATTAAGAATAGAAGGTCCCTGAGATTCACCCTCTTTACTCGTGGTCGCATCTGTCAAAAAGTTTATTTTTTTCTTTTATAAATGGGCAAAGACTTAATGAAGGGGAAGGGGGAATATTCTCGTACCCCTTGTACGAGAATACAAAAAACTGAGATCTTACCTGAGGTTTGACAATTGTATTGTTGATACCAGATGGACTACTTTGGCCTAGCTGTTGGTTGAGACCTATTCCTAATGGATCGGGCTTTAATTTCTTTCTGGGACCGATGGCGAGGAGTGCTGTCATGTTTGCTTCTCTCTGACGCATCTCTTCCATCTCTGCTCTTTGCATCTGTTTACAAGCATTTTAATGTATTAATCACTAGATAATGCCACATATTGAAGTAATTAATATGAATTACCTCTTTGGCTTTTTGCTTTAGTTTCAGCTGCTCTGGATCTTCTAACTTAGACCGACTCTGAAAATGGTTAAAGATGATTTTAAATGTATTTTGTTACAAGCTAATTTTAGTGATTCTCATCTCGTAAAGCAAAATAAATGAACAAAAACAAACCTTTGCTGCTCTCAACAGCATCTCTCTCTCTTGTTCTTCATGTTTCTTTTTCTCTATCCTATCCAGTTCTTCCAGGAACTTTAACTGGGCTTTGACATCTTGGGTTACTTCATACCGAGGATCATTCTGTTTCAAACAAATTACCAGATGAGTGTTTTCAAGAAGGATAAGGAAGAGGAGAAGGATGAGAAGAAAGTAGGGAAAAGGAGAAAGAGATGGAAGAGGAGAAGAATTTCTAAATTACCTTGATATTTTCTACTCGATGTTCAGCAATTATACCTAATTTCTCTACTAACGTTTTCAACCTTTCTTGAGTGGCGTGTGAGATTAAACTTAAAACATCCGAAGGAGTGTCGCCTAAACCGTATTTCGCCGCTAAATCAATGAACAAAAATTTAAATTAATACAAAAATAAAAAAGAATTGGAAGAAAGTAAAGTTATGAAAAATCAATAAATATGTTCTTGAATAGGATGCTTAAAAATAATTTAAAAAATATATGTTATAATTAAAGAAATTTTAATTTTAAAAGAGGAAAAAATATCTTTAGAGTTAATTTTGTTAGTAAATTCTATGAATAGTTAAATCATTTCTTTCAAAATTAATATGATGAAACTTTACAGAGTCAATTTTCTCTTCAAAATTGCTTTTATAATTTTAATTTCTTAGGAAATTTATGAGTGCTTAAAAATATAACTTAATCTACTCTTATATTCAAGTAAAAATTGATTAAATAAATTGAAGAAATTATTAATCTAATTATGTTAATTTAAAAAAGTAAATTTAACCTAATAACGAAGATTCATTAATTATTAATAAAGTTTAACTGATAGTGATTTCATCAATCTCCAAACTTTTGTAATCATTAATAAATGTTTGATACTGGAAATTAATTATATAAGTATATTTCTATCAAAGAATCTTTACAAATAAAATAAACTCAATTGTTTAAAGAAGGAAAATTATATTTGTTTTACTATCTACTGATTTCAATACTAAATACTATCACTAGGAAGAATTTTTAATAAGAATCTTTTTGAAAAGTGAGAAAATCCAAAGATAGTGTAAATTAGACCAAAATACTTGTTCTTATTAAAAATTCTTGCTGGTAATAAGGCATTTGAAACTTACTTGATATTTTTATGTTTTAATACTTAAACATAGATGCATCTTAGTACTTTCAAGCCTTTCAAATTCAACTTCAATGATATAACATATTTGTTAGCATTTCTGACAAAACAGTTCAAAGCTTGAAAGCACTAAATGCATCTCTATTTCTTTTTATTTTATTTTATTTTTTTTTTATTTATTTATTTTTCCTCCATTAAGGCAAATGCTTTTGAATAGGTTTCTAATTTTTTCCCAAGTTTATTATATTTTCTACTGAACATAATTATTCTTCCACTGTACAAACTCAAGGACATACATAATTAGAGAGAGACAATCCTATAATAATCAATACTAGCCAAAATAAAAATTCTGAATTTCAACAATAAGTTACAAAAGCCTCAGAAATATTATAAAACATGATATAAAGTTGGTTACCAGATTAACTTATTTTTACAAATGCTGAAGACAAAATAAAGATAACATGAGATCTGAACCATCAACCCTCTAAAAACAGTCCAATATCCTTCATTTTGACTAGTAAAATATAGAAGCTACTAACAACTTTATGCTTTTATTGGGATTCTAATATTGAAACATGATGTTTTTAAAGAATGTGATACCATACTTTTAATATGAAATTAATTTGGAATTTTATTTGCTAAACCTGACACACAATTCTATTAATACTACTTTCAATTTGTCACCATTATCCAAGAAAATGAAATTCACTAAATAAATTAAACTGAACTCAATCCTCATAGCAGTTTTGAAACAAATTATTTTTTATTGAGAAAATACAATGTAATAAGAATATAAAATAAAGTATGTATGTATGTACCAGTATAGCCAGTTTATTTTAAACTTTACACTTTATTTTTTTTGTTTGTCAAATGTTATAGTACTTATNATATTTATCTTTAACATCATCTTACAGTTAAATATCATCGTTTAAATCCATTACATGTCACTAAAGGTTTTACTTTGCTCTAGATTTGAATTTGTTAAATGTTCAATCTGACAATAAGACAAAACAGTCTTAAAAAACTTCAATCAGAAATAGGTTGATTCTTTCGATTCTTTAAACATAAATAATTCTAATATGAAAAGCAAAAATAATTGTTTGATTTTAATCCTGATTTAAAAAATATATCATCTATTACAAAAACAGGTTAAGATTTATTGATTTAAACATAAACAAAAGAATCAGGAAAATTAATTTAAAATGATCTTAAATAAACTCAAAACAGGTTTTAATGAAATAATCCTGTGGTGTTCCTAATTCTCATTTTACACGTGTTAGTTAAATAATAAATTAAAGATCAAAAAATATATTGAGAGCAACTTATTTTTAAGATTTTCATTTGTATTCTTATTAAAGAACCTATCTATTACTTAGGTTAACAGGTAAGTATTTTTTTTTCTAAATTTTGATAAGAATATTTAATATTAAACAATGTTTAAAATAAATCACAAATTGTCTACATTAAAAGAAACTTAAATCCTGGTTTACACAGGTTTTACTGTATAAGTTTTATACTATATATTTAGACACACAGATATGTTTAAAGCAAATTCTGAAATTTGTACTATGATCCTACTAGTGTCAATTTTACAAATGCAAATGCAATTTAGCTCAAATTTTTAACAAAAATTAATTTCTGTCTCATTTTGGAAGCTATTACAACAGACTATAAAAACATTTTTTAAAAATATGAATATTGTGAAAAACTTGTCATTGAACATAAAAATGAAAGAAAATATGGAAAATACAACAACAAAATATTTTCGGAAATTTGTTAGTTTATATCACAAGCATCTGTACAGTGTCTCTCAAAACAGTGATAAGATTAACAGATAGATAATTTTCTTACCTATCATGTTAATCCTTCTCTGAAGAGCACCAGTAAAAACAAAGTTTTCATCTTTACAAGACCGAATTTGTGTTCCTACAATTTCTGCATTTGATGCTAGGATACGCTGACTCTCCTCCACTAGATTGACGCCACCCATCGCCGCAACATCATTGATATCGTCATCGTCTCTACAAATTTAAATTTTGTTAACGTATTTAACAATTGTATTGTAAAATAAATAAAACAATACTTGCTATTTATATTCTATCAAACTTATAATACTCAATTAATACAAATTAGTATCAATGCAAAAGATCATTGATTAATAACTATTAGTCAACATCACACTTACCATACTTCTAATGTGACAGATAACATGCAACAAACTGAAAATTATTTGACTAAGTTTTAGAAATATTTAGATAAATTTCTATTGTGCTTTGTGTCTATTTAAATTACAGATACCTTAAATGGAGTATTTGAGCAATAAATTAGTGTGAAAGAAATTGTGTACACTGGAAAATATGAAAATTCAAGCACTGAAATTTAGAATCATCATCTTTGCATATGGATTTCTGTGGTTATTCTTCCTTCTAATGTAACTAGTATTTTTATATGTATTACAGTTCATTTTTGCTCTTAAACTTAACCATTTATGTAAATGTAAATATTCTACCTACAAATTTCACTTTAAATTCTAATATAAGTAAGAAATGGAATATATTTTGAGGATCATGAAATAGTAAAAATTTAAAATATTTATTGCATTAGAAAGATGAAATAAATAATAGTTACCCATTAAGGCAAATGCTTTTGAATAGGTTTCTAATTTTTTCCCAAGTTTATTATATTTTCTACTGAACATAATTATTCTTCCACTGTACAAACTCAAGGACATACATAATTAGAGAGAGACAATCCTATAATAATCAATACTAGCCAAAATAAAAATTCTGAATTTCAACAATAAGTTACAAAAGCCTCAGAAATATTATAAAACATGATATAAAGTTGGTTACCAGATTAACTTATTTTTACAAATGCTGAAGACAAAATAAAGATAACATGAGATCTGAACCATCAACCCTCTAAAAACAGTCCAATATCCTTCATTTTGACTAGTAAAATATAGAAGCTACTAACAACTTTATGCTTTTATTGGGATTCTAATATTGAAACATGATGTTTTTAAAGAATGTGATACCATACTTTTAATATGAAATTAATTTGGAATTTTATTTGCTAAACCTGACACACAATTCTATTAATACTACTTTCAATTTGTCACCATTATCCAAGAAAATGAAATTCACTAAATAAATTAAACTGANACTGGAATTCTTTCGGATAATTGACTTTCAGATAATCGACGCTCTAGTGTAATTTCAAATTTAAAAATCTAAAGTACAGGTTTAGATTTCTAGGAAATCTACAGGTTTCCTTAACAAAGATAATAAAAATAGAACAATTATAAAAAAGGTTTTTTTAGAAGCAAATATTAATGATTTTCATCAGAAAAAGCATGTTGCCTAGAAATAAGGCTTATCAGTTTTAAAAAATTTTCAGTAAGAGCAGGAAGAACTTCAACATTGCCAACTGCTATTACATTTAAAACTTGATAAGACTTACAGTTTAATAAAGATTTTTTTAACATTCAATCTTGTACTTTTAATATTTTTTAGTTTAAATGTAATTTAAAAGATTTTTTTGCATTAGCAATTTTAGGTTCCAAAAGAAAAAGGTATTCCAACAAATAGTATATATTTGAAAGTACATAATAAAAGAGTTAACTTCTAATTCCTTTTGCTACTATCAACTCAAATCATTAATGCTAAGAAACAGAAAACAGCTAATGAAGTTCAAGAAGTCACTATTTATTCTGATTAAGTGTTTTCTAGAATAATTTACATCTAAGTTGTCAGATTAAAATCTCAGATATTTGAATGTATAAATAATTGACTCAAAAGTTAAGAAATTAAAAAAAGCTCTCTTCTTTCCTATCAAAGAATCTCATGTTACAATTAACTCATCAATATATTTTTTTTAAACTCTTTCCACCCTGTGGGCACTTTTTTTTTTGCAAACCCTTTATAATTTTGGCAAGGTTTACAATGGAGCAGCTGAGCAGCGTGGGACAAAGCCCAATGTATCTGGACAGACCATCCCCAAAAATTCTGAGAATCAATCCTGGGTATCCAGAGCAGTAGACTACTACCTTAACTGCTTGGCCATCTGGCCATTGTAACATACCACAATTTCACCCTTAGAACTTTCAAGCCTTTCTTAGCTCATCTTTCGTTGTAAAATTTTATTCACTACATTGCATTGAATTTCATTGACATAATTAAAGTTTAATCAAAGGAATACAGTTATGTTAACATTATCATATTTATTTTATATTTGATTAATTTAAGCTGTATATAATTTAATTTTTCCATTTATACAATTTTAAATTTATGTAAATATTCTTTTACTTAATGTACTATTTTACACAAGCTTTATAATCAAACTATGGGTTTTAGAAGTTAAAAAAAAAATCTGTTTGAAATTTTATGATGTGATTGTTATATTCTTCTACTGTCAAGTGCTTATGGAAAATAAAAAGAAAAATGCAGCTAAATGGGCGTTAAGGAATTAAAATACTTACAGTTACAATACGTTGTTGAGTAATTATATTTTGTGGAGTTCCAGGCTGTGCAAATTGGGCAAATGAAGTACCGGCCATTGGTGCCATAACTCGCACCTGAGCCGTTGCCTGTTGGACTGCTGGTCGAGAATGAGCAATCTAACAAAAAAAAAAATAATATATTAATATAAACTAAATAAATTTGAATATAAAATGTGCAAATCAAGTCTTAACTGTAATTAATCCTATAATTAATCTGATAACAAAAATATTTCATTAATAAATGAAAACATCAAATATGTACAATAATTAAATACAGAGAATTACAGATGTGCAAAGAAGAATTTACAGATTCACATCAATAAATTTAACAAAACATAAAAGACCATTTGTGAATAATAAAAAAAAAAGTGCGAAATTAAAAATAAAATGCATAAAAATTTATTTGAATATTAAAAATCTATAAATCAAATCAATAAGTAAATTCACAAATATTTCACATTAACTTTTTCTGCACTGTAAATACTAAGAATGTTCTTCACAATTTCAAATAATTCATAGAGCATCTAAAATTAATGATTCAAATAAAATATTGTTTTATAAAACATGTAATACCTTCATCAACATAACAGAGATAAATTTTTGTCTTAAAATACATTACTTGTTAACAGTAGCAACACTATGTCACCGTAGCAATTGTTATTGTATGTTTAAAATGACTTAAGACTTTATATTTTCATAATATTTTTGTTTCTAAAATCAGCTTAGTATTTAATCTGTTGCACTTGCATCATTCTTATTTTTAAATTTTTCTCATAGTTTCGAATAACTTAAATAGAGCTTGGAATACTGAAAGTGCTGAGTTGAACTTGATAACAAAAAGTTAAAACAAATAGCACATATTGTTTAAATTATTTTGATATTAACTTTATCATAATATAATTCTCATAGATAAATGTATAAGGGAGGAGGAAAACGAATTAATTTAATACCTCAAAGACGAATAACTTCTTTTTTCTTTTTCTTTTTGTACACCAAGTGAGGATACAGTTCTAGATGCAGTAATTCCTTTAGTTTGAAGAACTCCTACTGTTGCTGGAGAAATAGCAGTTGAAGACAGAGAAACACCCGCTTTAGTCGCAGTTGTCACTAGTAAACTCTTTGCATGACTCACTACAGATGCCGGTAACCGGGGCTACAAAGTGCAACATTTAATAAATCAAAATACAACTAATTTTCAAATCATTAAAATTTCTATATTTACAGTTAGGATGAAAATAAATTTCTGAGAATTTTGTTAAAAAATATCTTAATCTTATAATATTTTATACATTTTCAAGAGATTTAACTAAAGATTATTTCTATATTAGATCACCATCATTTCGCAATTTTAGAATCTGAAATCCTCTCTAAAGACCTTTCCAATCACTTTTGATTTATCAAAACAAAGATGGAAGTACAGTAGAGCGTCGATTATCCGAATCAATTGGGGACTGGGGTTGTTCGGAAAATCGATATTTTGGATAACTGATTATGTATTAAAAAATATATTAACCTATCCCGTGTTGAAATTTTTCTCCGTTGCGTGTCGCTTCGCGTTTAATTTTCGTTGATGTTAAGCCTAACAAAGACTATTGTATCATTAAAAATTATTTTTTTATTTTGTACAAACAAAATAAATATATTGAAAAATATAAAAACAATAAAAAATTATACTTCAGATGTTAA